ACAACTTCACTAATGTGAAAAATCATGCTCAGTCACACAACCTGAATTCTTCTGGAATCTTTTCTCCAATAAATTATGAGGATACTCATCATCTCTTAGTTAACTAGTCAATTGTCCTAGGCATCTACCTCCTTTTCAGGCAGCCTCTACTAATACTGATGTCTGTTCTGACCCATGATTTGTCTTCTTATTTTTTAACTCCTCTAACATTATTTTCCTTGTTCTCATTTACACTGTCTGTATTCTATCATAATTTCTTCATGCATTATCTTAAATATTTATTTTAAATAATTTTTATTTTCTATTTTACTTAGAAAACACAGGCTAAATTTTTTAAAAACCCGAAGTTATTTTTAAAAGTTATTTTTTAAAAGAGAGAGAATCTCTCCTCAGCCATTTGCCCTTTTCCCACTAGAATACTACTTCCTGAGTGAAAACACTATTAACAGATTATTTCCTATGGATTGACTACCCAAGTATACAAACTAGTCTGCTATAACACAGCAATAATTTTTCTAAGAATATTTAAATTTGTTTGGAGACAGATATAGCTATAGATGCACATCCTCCCTCCCCCTCCTGGGGAATGAACTCAGGGCCTTCACACTGAACCACATTCCTAGACTTTTTTGTGTGTGTGTGTAGAACCCAGAGTCTTCATAATGAGCTACTTCCTCAGCCTTGAATGTTTTTTAAATTTTGAGACAAACTCTCACTAAGTCACTAAATTTTCCAGGCTAGGCTTAAACTTGCAAACATTTGCTTCAATCTCCCACGGCTAGGATTACAGGAATGCACCACCATACACAGTTAATTTTTGAGTTTCAATTTTTTCAAATCTATTCTAATTTCAGACTTATATGACAATTTTGGTTTATCATCAGAGTTTTAAAAATAAAAGAGTTTAAAAATAGTTTTAAACAGATTTTATTACAATCAGCTCTAATAAATTAAAAGATCAATTAATTAATACAGTAGAATCTTACTAACAAGTACTTGCAATTCTGTTGTACTAGTCTGTATGCTTTTATATATCTTTGAAATTTTTCATAGTTAAATAAAAGTTCAAAAAATTAGAACAACCTGATTAAATTTGACACTTGCCTTTGCCCCTCGTTATGTGTGCTAGAAGGTCTTTGATTCCCCTTTGTCACATTTTCCCTCAACTTTGAATTTGCTAGAGATACAGTTCCAATCCCAACAGTTAAAAATAAAAGAATGTTTAAAGTAAAAACAATGAGAATAATCAACTTCCTCGATCAGTCTCAGCAGGCATGTGTTACTTTGCTCTGTCTGTAACAACTGTTTTCTTAATCTTGCAATAATAATAGAGTCTAGATCCTAATCTCATCACTATAGTGAGATGTTATTTAGTGTTGTAAGGCAGTCTTATTGTTGCCCTAAATTCTTTAAATTGTTTATGTTTTGCTGGCTTTATGTGAATGCTATTACATATGTGTAATTTATATCACCATTTTAGAGTGTAGTGATGCTAGGTCAAGAAAAGGTAAGTATTTTGTTTTGGTCGCGCATAAACTAGACAAGCCAAGATTCTGTGTAATTTCATATTGTTTTTAAAAAATTTGAAGACTAGGGCATTTTGAATTAATTATTGCTTATACTTATATGTGTATTTAAAT